TTAAGATAGAAGCACCAAGATTTTTCCGCTGGAGGTCTGGACGCTTGTAGTAACCACTACAATAGACGTACAACCTGGTTGCCCGTTCCAGGATCTGCCGGCATATGTTGATGTTGTTTGAGGAACCAATCTTTGAGGCCTTGTTGATTCGATGTGAGCCTGTACGTAGGTGTCAGTCTTTATTCAACCAGTACCAGTGACATCTAACTAACGAACTTACACTCAATAGCAAAGTTGGCAAACCTGTCCAAGTTGGAATATTTCTCCAAGAAGTACCCAATGTGGTACACCAAGACGTGCATGTATGATGATACATAGGTCTTTGGATAGAGGCTGACAAAGTTCTTGCCAAAGACCTTGGCATACTCCAACCATTCTTGTTCTGTCACCTTGCTCTTCCTCTTGACACACATAATGACGACAGACATGGTCTTGGACAGCGCGCATCCATCAAATGATATCTTTAGGTACAGCTTCTCACCTGGTCTCAGATTTGGCCTCTCCTTGTCCAACGCTTTATCAATCAATGACCTGAGAGTAGCATAAGATGCCTTCCGGCTCTCCTTGTCGAACATACAGATATGCCTAATTGTCTCTGGTGGTATGTGAACAAGGTCAGCAATCAGATCAACTTTCATGAATGTATGTTGTTGCCAATGATACTCACCAGTTTGTATTTGCTTGACCTTAGATAGACTGTACTTCTTGGAGAGTTTGAACGTCTTCCTCAGCCTCATCCACATGGCGTCTGGTATCTGCAACTCATCCTTGAGTTGCGACAAGTCGGTGAGTGGCACATAGGTCTGGTCCATCTCGTTGGCTGATTGGACTTCAATGCATCTCACACATGTAGGTGGACACTTGTGAAGGTCTGTCACTCGCTCATGTTGCGACAGATTGCTGCTCTCGAAGCTGGTCTTCTTGGAATCACATGTCTCATGCCTGCACGCTTTGTAACCAACTGGAATTGGAACTGGGCCAGCTGGAGGAGGTCTCTTGGATACGCACAACACGCACTCGCCTGTGGTACACTCTGTCTGATGATGCTTTCGGTAATGTTTGGAACGTGCTTGAGTGCTGGCGTATGTACGACCACAACTGATATGCTGACATGTAACTTGCACCATTATATATATATATATATATATATACAGATAACAGCCGGCCGCCAAGGCAAGCCTTTGAATGACTCTGTCAGCCGTACAGCTCGTGTTTTGAAGGACTCAGACATCAATCATTCAATGACTCACCACCTTGGTCTTTGGACATTCATTGAGATAACAGGTGTTTATCTCAACCCATCCCAGACACCTCTTTGGATTGATCGACCGACCAATGCTTTCTTTGACCTGGGAAGATGGACACCACCACGCAAAACATCAAAAAAATGTTGCATAAAGCACTATGTCTAGTGGGGGTGATCCTCCTTTTATGAACTTTTGAGACCCCTGATGAGTGAGATCAGCACCAGACACCCCCTTTGGACCTTGTGGACACCACCACGAGAAAATTGTTGTGATCTCCTCCAGGATCCCAGTTGGATCATCATGCAAGTACCTTGCTAACAACTCACGTTGCAACAACATCTTGCGCAGGACGTTCTTTACCAGTCGTACTCTGATCTCAGAGTGGCCATTAGGGTTGTGGCGATACGGTAGACTCATGTGTATCTCGACCTTCTTAGCCTTCATGTATTCAACGAAGACATGAGCTGTGAACAATGGATCGTTATCAGTTACGATCTCACTTGGTCGTGGAAAAGTGCAGAACATCTCTTGTAACAGATCAATGATGTCCATGCTCTTCGCACCCTTGATCAATGGCTTCAACCATGTGAATTTGGAGAATCGATCGGACACCAACAGTATTCCGTCATACTCTATACCAGTTTTAGTAGTATGAGTGGACAGCTTTGGAATTATATCCATGGTGATTGATTCAAACACATATTGTGGAATGGCTAGGGGCTCCAGCAAGCCCATCGTCCTCGGTGGATGGTCACTGCACAGCTTGCAAATGACACATGACTGTACGTAGTTGAGGATGTCAGCGTTCATCGTCAGCCAATAGTATCTACGTTTAATCTTCTCGCTCGTTCTCTTGTGATCAAAGTGTCCTCCTAGCCAGTGATCATGGTGGATGGATATCACTTTGCGAATGACCTTCTTCACACGTGGAACAATCAGCTTGTTCTCACTCGTCAGGCGCAAGCCTCTGGTATCGACGGTGTAAGGTGTCTGATCACGGTGCAACGTCTTCTCGTTGACTAACTTGTCCTCTATCTCGTAGCCAGCTAGTATCAGTGGAATGATGGTATCATCATCAAAGGCATGGAGCATATTCAGTTCGGACAATTCCTCTATACTGCGAGCGGAAGCGGTGGTAGCAGCAACAGTTGCTGTGTTGGTCACATTATCGACAGATGCGATATGTTTGGCGAGTACAGGTTCATCTGGCATGGGGATGTCATCATCCACATCAATCGATTTGTTTGATCGGACGCGCTCCATCAACTCTTTGACATCAATTGATCGACTGCATGCATCAGCATAGATGTTGGACGAGCCTTTGATGTACTCCAGTTTGGGATTGTACTTACTTAGGATCTGTATCCATCGAGTAATACGATCACTGATCGGATATTTACATTGCTCATACAGGAATACAATGTTGCGGTGATCACAGTTGATCGTGATTGGATAACCAAACAATAAATAATGATTATCAATCAGAGCAGTTACTGCAGCCAACATCTCGCGCTCAAGCACCGTGTAGCGAAGTTGACTGTCGTTGAATCGCTTAGACCCATACAGAATGTGTCGTCGCTCTCCATCATCACCCAGTTGGTAGATCACATAGCCAATCGCACCTTTGCTTGCRTCACTGTCGCATATGAATGGACGATCAAAGTCAGGTAGGTATAAGATTGATTCATCAGACAATAATGTCTTGAGATGATTGAACAGCTGATCATCTTCCTCAGTCCAATCAAACTTGGCTCCCTTCTTCATGAACCGTCCCAACTTCAGTGTGGTAGCTGAGTAGTTGTCAATGTAGTGTCTGTGGTAGGCAAGCAGACCTAAGAACCCGGCGAGTTGTTCYTTCGAGTGTGGTCTCTCCCAGTCATGAATTGCTTGAAGTTTTGCCCGAGTGGGTTTGACAGTTTCCCCATCGATCTCAAAACCCAAGTATTCCAGTTTTGGCTTTGCCCAAACACACTTGTCTTTGTTGATTGAGAGATGGTTGTCTTCCAGGACCTTCAGTACCCTGTTCACAACCTTCATATGTTCATCAACATCGTCTGATCGAGTGCGAATCAATATATCGTCGAAATATATTATAGTGACACCCTCCTCGATCAGATCTCGGAAGATATGTTCCATGAATGCATTGAAATGAGAAGGAGTTCCGGCTAGGCCCATGGGCACGACGTTCCAGACGAAGGAACCGAACTCAGTTCTCATTCCAGTTTTCAGACGCGACTGCTCATCCTTWAGYAGGAGCTGGTGATATCCTCGAGCCAAGTCAATGGCAGAGAACAAYTTGTATCCTTTAGTCGACATGATCAACTTAGAGATGTTGGGTATTGCGTGGTGTGAGTAGTGACTGACACTATTCAACGCTCGGTAGTCAACCACACATCTATACTTGTTCGTGCCAGGCTTCTTGATGAACATCACAGCAGCACCATAAGGTGATTCAGCGCGAGAGATCCAGCCCCTCCTCAAGTAGTCCTCCAGTTGAGCTTTGAGCTCACCCTTCAGTCTGTGGGGTACAGGAAACATCGAAGGTTTAGGTATCTCTCCATTGGTGAAGATCTCATAGTCCCACCCAGGTCGACTCACTGGTAGAGTCGTTCTCTCTCTGCCAGTTGATTCCAATAAAGTGCAAAACTCATTCACGATAGTTTTTGACAATTTTGAAATGTTGCGGCCCATTGCTTTAGTGCCATCTTCTGTGGGGTTGAAAGTCACATCGCCAGCATAGCATATTTCAGATACTCTATGCAGCTGACCCCCCACATACACAGTAAAGGTCTTTCGTTTCGAATCACCCAGAGGTACTTCCTGACGTCGACCTTTGTCATCATTAAATGACCACTGGATTGAATGATACAAGTAAGAATTAAAAAAAACATTTATATTCGACGAGGGTGTAGTCTTCCCAATGATGAGTCGTGGTATACACAATTATTCATTGTAAAATAGATATTATCTGACCTATACTACCAAGATAAATAACTGAACTGTCACTTCAGTGAATTGTAATAGATACACCTGAATATTAACCTAATTAATGAATAGTTCAGTTACAGATCAAGGTTAATAACTATTCACCTGAACTTACGGAGCATTGATGACCAGATGTTTGAACCAAAGTCGAGTGTTGATGCGGTGTGTTGAAGATGGTCTCTACCGATCAGTATCGAGGCATTCTCATCACAATCAATCACTTCAAAACACACAGACACAGACACATAAAGACCAAACTTGTTCTTTACTTTAAGTTCCTTTACAGTTATGCCCTTAGAGGCTACAGTTGATCCATCAAATCCTCTAAGTACAGTGTCGGACTTCTCCAATGGCATGTTGTGAGCCCAGTGCGCAGGCAAGACTGAGGTGTCAGCACCCGAATCAATCTTGACCTTGGTCAGCCGGTCGTCATCAACAATGGCAACAGTTGAAATCTCCTTGGTCTTGCCTGGTGTCTTGGTACCAGGGTACGTCGACTTGGCCGGTTGTTTGGACTTGATCCATTGTGCCTTCCTCTCCTCAGCTGCCTTCTTCTCCTCTTCAGTGCGGACGTCTGGCAACGGGCAGTTCCTCAACTGATGTTTGAGAGACTTGCATCTGAAACATCCCTCAGGTTTGGGAGTAGACGTGGAAGTGTGCTCCAGCTTTCTCTTCTTATCAGTAGCCGTCTTGATAGCATCCTTGGTCAAAGGTTTGTTATCACCCTTGGGAGTGTTGTTGTTCTTGGCAACACTCTTGCTCAGTTCAGTGACCATCGGCGCTAACTCACCAGTGTAATCCGCACCATTGAGCAGGGCTCCTATTCACATATCATGACTCGAAGTTCAACCGAAACCGATTCACATCCGACCCGACGGTTCAGTTAAATAAATTTCAAATTTTCACTCACACACAGACTATTCGAATCTATTCGAAGTTGGCGCGGTTTATTCACTTTCTAGACAACAACGGACGACATCGACACAACAAAGACATTTCATTCAAACGAAACAACTACATTACAAATATAATATCCTACTACTCTTAGCAATGCTCCGTAAGTTCAGGTGAATAGTTATTAACCTTGATCTGTAACTGAACTATTCATTAACCTAATTAATATTGCATCCATTAATACAAGCAAGCGAGCGCAGCATCACATGTAGACTGTCTAGAATGACAAGAGGGTCAACAATTAATGATTAGGCGAGTAAGAGAGTGCAGTCTCACTTATAGACTGTTTAGAATAATAAGAGTCAACAAACAATTAATTATTAAGAGAGTACAGCGAGTGTATCCTCATATGTCGGCTGTTAGAAGGGATAGAGTAAACAATCGATTAATGATTAAGCGAGTAGGAGCGAGTGCAGCCTCACATGTAGACAGTTTAGAATGATTAGAGGGTCATTAATTAATGATTAAGCGAGTAAGAGCGAGTGCAGCCTGTACATGGAATGGAGAAAGAAACATTACAGACGGCTTGGAAGACTCTACATGATGAYGAGCAAGAGTAGCTTCATATCCAATTGGCGCCATCTGGACACAATACAGTACGTATAAAGGTAGCGACAAGGTCAACGAACGAACAAACAAACAAACAATCAATCAAATTAATACCTTATATTATTATTATTATTATTATTATTATTACATATTTACATAATGTCTAGTGATTCTGAATCATCTACATCATCATCGTCTTCGACGCCACCATCATCGGCCTCAACCCTCGTCGCATCCAGGCGCTCCAACCACTCTGAGGTCTGGGAATTCTTCGAGCGGGAGATCACCTACTACACCAAGGCGCAGATTGAGAGCTTTGGCCCCAAGAGCAAGATCAGGAAGAGTGCCAGACCAGACGAAGAGAGTGGTGGATACAAGGTTGACCTTGCCTGGTGCAAACGTTGCACAGGCAAGAAGGCGTGCTACAACATGGCAAGCGGCAGCACAACCAATCTGTGGACACACTACACAGACAAGCATGCGCCCAACCTCTCCATTGCAATGGACAAGTACCTAGACAACAGTGGCAACTTGCGAGACACTCCGAGGATAACCATGGTCAAGTGGCTAGTGATGAACCATCAGCCCAACCTCATCGTCGAGCAAAAGTAAGTAATACAATCATCCACCGCCATCCATACTCAATCAATCATCTTTGATAGTCGTTAACACTTTTCTTATCATCAACCTCAACCTAATAGATTCTTCAAGGAGATGATCGACTCATTCAGAAAGCAGCCAGAAGCGATTGTACCAGGTGCTGACACCATCGCAAGAGGTATGTACAATAATATTATCATTATATACTCTCCAATGTTCACCTACAGTATGCTAACTTTACATTAATCATTCATTCACTCAGAGATCATTTCTTTCCATCGCACCCTCCAAGAGGCAATCAGTGCCCACCTATCCAAGCTTACGTGCAAGGTATCGGTCACCTTTGACATCTACCAGGCCAGGTACACTCTCGCTTCCTACTTGGGTGTGGCTGTACATTTCATTGAGAATGACAGACTTCAACATTTATTGTTGAGCTTTGAGCCCTTCCCAGAGCAGCACACTGGTATTATTATGTGTGACAAGGTAGTCGAGGTATTGGACCAGTTTAAGCTACTTCCCAAACTGCTCGCATCCTGTACCGATAACGCCACGAACAACGACACTGCCGTCAGCAATCTCGAGGTAGTGTGTGCCACCAGATCAGTCCCCTACCACGGTGTCGAGAGCCACGTCAGGTGTATCGCTCACATCATCAACCTGGTGATTCGCAGCTTTCTCCAAGAGGATCAAGTCCACGAAGTTGTCAAAGGCTTCAAGGAGCTCTCAAACCATGTGAGAGAGACTCACAAGTCCAAGGAGGCCTACCGCCTCATTGTTGGATCGATCCCGCCCGAGGACGTTGAGACGCGCTGGGACTCCAGGTATCGCCTCCTCCAATATTTCCTCGACCACAAGGATGCCGTCATCACCTACCTTGAGGAGTCCACCGACAAGACATTCCAAATCAACTGGGAGAAGCTGGAGGCCATCCAACCGACACTCGACATGTTTCATTATGACTCTGAGGGCCCACCACGACTGAGTTGACACCAAATACTATATGAACAATATTAACGGCCCAAGCTCATGGACATCAATAAGCTTGGGCTGTTAATATAGTTCATATAGTATTTGGTGACGAACTTGATGGTCACACTGGAGTCCGAGAGACTGGCAGTATTGGGTGTGATAATGTCGTTCAGGTCTGAGAACGAAGTCTCGAGGAAAGTCGTGGCACCTTGCGCACCAAGATAGTCACGAGCTATCTTTGAAATTAGGGGAAAGGTAACAGAGTTGACGGCCCACCACGACAGAGTGTTGACACTGCTAGGGATGCGAGGATGGAACAAGAACCTTCTCAACTCTGAGCAGCATGACCAGCCCAACAATCGTAAATAAATCTTCAAGTCAATCGAATGAATCGAATATAAATAGAATGAATATGAACAACTGTTAACTTGTCAAATGATTATTTGTATTCATAACTCGTCGACAGTTATTCACCAATAATCGGGTCGGTTGGTCATCGTCCCAAAAATTAACTATATCCGATGAATAGGAGCCCTGCCATTGAGATACAGGTCACTTGGCAAATTGCTACGGACAGAAGCAGGGAAGGCGGAAGTGAACATGACGGTCTTGAACGTCTTGAGGTCCTTGACGCCCGATGACTCGACAGCTGCACAGGCCTTCCTGAACTTCTCGGTGAAGGCAGAGACATCGGTATCACCAGTGTAACGCAAGTTTGTCAATTCCCTCACCAACTCAGTGCGTGGTTTGTGGGAAGCGAAGCGATTGATCATTGCGCTGGAGAACTTGTTCCAGTTGGTAACACGGATGTCCAAGCCAAGAGACTTCTGAGCCTCCGGTGTCATGGCACTCCAGATGGCGGATATGCGCATTACTTCATTCAAGGCCATGAGGACTCTGCAGTTCTCCTCGAAGTACTTGTTGAAGTCATCAGTAACAGTGAACTTTGGCAACTTGGCTGTGGGCATGGAAAGTTGTCTGGCACTCCTTTCAATCAGTTCCACAACGTCAAGCCTGTCTGGATGTGGAGATATCATAATTACGCCCATTACGCTCTCCACCAGCTCGTTCTTTTTCTCCCACTCCATGTAAGTGGTCAGTCCCGGTTGGGACGCGATTAGT